GAGATTAGTCACAATTCCTGCAAGAACACTGCCATTTATGAAGAGTGAGATCAAGATGACCTCCAAGAGAAACTTCTTCCAGGAGTGCAAGCATAATTTGATGCCAGACTGTATTTTCCAGTATGTTGAATGGGGAAATTTAGGTGTCACAGAAGCAAGATCTAAACATAAAATCTTTGTCCCTATGGTCATGAAATTCTCCAGATATTAACCTCACTATGAACCTATTCTCACTTGTCAAAAAGCAGAAGACAACAAACTAGGATCAACTCCATAAACAAAGAAGACAAGAATGGCTCATGATCCCTCAAAATTAAACTCAGATGTTGATGTTGAGTATGTTCACTAATAAAAGTCTCAGGAAATCTGTAAAAATGTTTCAGATCAAAAATAAAATAAAAATATCTACTTATCCTGAAGCCATGAGACTTATTTGTGTGACTGACAATACTTTCATCCATGACTGTACTGCTGAGAATAATTTGTAATGAAACAGTTGATGAAGAGATCATTTGCTGTCCTTTGCTTGTCCTAGGAAGCCAGTTGGAAGCCACCCTCTGTCTGTGTTGGCCAGATCCCCTGGTGACAGCCAGAATGGGATATGAAGGTTTTCGACCTGAGGAACTTCCCCAACTGAGCAGGCAGCAGACAGAGTTAGCTATTGAAATACTGAAAATACTTTTCAATATCACATTTGACACAAACCGACGCAAGGTCGATGAGGTAAGAAGAAACTTTTCATGTGGCATTTCAATTTGCTGTTAATTGGTCAGTTTGATCACTAGAGAAGTTAGGATGCGTCTCAGCCTTATTGTTCCTCCTGTTTGTCGTCGCTTCTCTGATGAGTTACTGGACAGAAAAGGAAATGATGGCTATCAGGAGAGCATCTATTCCATTGATTCACATTGTAAAGTTGCTTTGTGCTAAACTTGGGCTGCCAGAGAGCAGCATTCTGTTGCTACAGAAACACTGAACCTAATGAGATGAGCGCACTCTTCTGAAAACTCGTTGTGTGTGCGTGTCTGTATGTGTGTGTGAGAAGGAAGAGGCAGTAGAGTACAGATACTTGGGCGCTCTCCTGAGACACTGTTTGATGAGCCGAGCAGACGGAGAGGAGCGGACCGAGGAGTTCCACAGGTTTGATAATACACTCTTCACTTCATTTATACACTCATGGCTTCCCTTTGAGGCCAACCTCTTAAAGCATTTCTCCTTGTATTTTCAGCCATACTGTGAATTTACTGGGGAATCTGCCGCTGCCTTGTTTGGATGTACTGTTATTGCCCAAGGTGGAACATGGCTCCATGGAGTACATGGGGGTCAACATGGATGCTGTGAACATGCTGCTGGAATTCATGGAGAAAAAACTTGATCGTGTAGGATAACACTGTAGATATAGAAGTTCTCTCTTAGCCTGTAGTACAATTGTTTCAAAGGGCTGATTAAAACAAAAGCTTGTCCAAGTTAGCTCAAAGAAAGGCAACCATCTATATGAATACTTATTCATTTCAGATCATATGGTTTCACAAAGGGAAGCTGCTTCAACAACAGAAGTAAGCAATTTTGTTGGATTACCTTTCCTCAACCACTGGAAAATCAATCTGAATGCTCCAGGATGCTCTACTGCAGTGGTTCCCAAACTTTTTCTTCTGTGCCCCCCAGTGGTTTCCAAACATTTTCTGCGCCCCCCCCCCATGGATTACAAATGGCTGTCTGGTTGAAACACGC